TCGAAGCCCGCATTGCGCAGGAGGTTCAACAAGGGAGCTGGGGAAGGGGGGGGTTTTGGGGGGGGGGGGGGGGGGGGGGGGGGGGGGGGGGGGTGGGATAAAGATGAATGGGGCGAGGGAGGGAGGGGGGATGATGACGAGGGAGCGGGAAATGTGAGGAGGGTTCGAATGCTGCTCTGGGCCGGTAGACAATGAACGAACGAACGGGGAAGAGGGAGAGAAGGGGAGAGGTCACAGATATAACTGACAGAGGAGGTGGGGAGAGGCAATTGGGCCGTTCGCTGCTGCTGGCGCGGAATTGGCTGGTTGGGGATGTGGCTATTCGCCGTCGACGGTAAGTTGGGCGAAATGTGGGAACTCCTCTGGAGGATTGCTCGCGGGAAGATTGCTCGGAGGAGGACGATTGGTTACCCCGGAGGACTTTTCGGAGGATTGCTGCTACTACGATCGCGGGAAGATTGCTCGGAGGAGGACGATTGGTTACCCCGGAGGACTTTTCGGAGGATTGCTGCTACTACGATCGGATGATCCACACTTTCGAACTGGCGGATTTTCTGAATCAACTAGTGTCTCGCGGCGGCGCCGGTCCATTGGATGTTCCCCTGCGACTTGGGCTGCTGCGTAACCACGTATAACGCCGCGTCGCTATCCTCTGGGTCAAAACGAGGGTCGTAGATTTTGTCGAGGCGCATCGGATGCCCGACCGCACTTCAACGCTACGTGTACGATTACTAAGCACGCAGGCGTTACACGACGTGTTTCCTAGAGAGAGCTGCTGCAAGGCTGAAGGGTGCCGGGGTTGTTACTACAGGCTGCGAGGCTACCTTTCAAGAAGAGGCAAGAATCATATCAGTACCTTGAGCTGCGAGGCTGGCGCATGTCGGCACGGAGGCGTTGGCGACGGCGACGAGCGAGAGGAGGTGCGCGGTTACCACAAGCAGGCGAAGAATGAGGATGAGGCGGCCTGGACTCCTGATGCCACGTGGAGCCTGGCGATTCGAGGCATGCTTCCGATTTCTGCCACTGAGTAGGGACGCAGCAATTGACTCGCTATAGAGTGACCCGTTAAGAATAGCGGATGTTCGGTTCACGTGTAACATGGAGAAAAGCGCCGCGAGAGCGGGCGGCGATTGTGAGGAAAGGGGAGAAGGAGCAAAACTTGCTGTGGCATCGCGCGACAGTAGGAATTATTTTGCACGTCTGCGGTTTCAAAAAGAAACCCCCATTACTGTCCTGTATCCACCCTAACAAAAGGGCGAAGGCAAGCTGGGCCAGGGCTCTGAACCACGTGTTGTAGCGGAACATACGGCCAGTAGTAATCCAGCTCAAACCCTAATCACGCTGCACCACGCCTTTATCTCACGGAAACGCACTAAACTGCTCTTCACCTTTCTGAACTTCGAAATCTGAGCCAAAGTTGTTTTCAGTGGATGGCTGCTAGGGGCAACGAAGTTTTGGTTTACTCGAATGCACGTTGCAATTTGCGAACCCTCGTGATGGCTTGAGGGAGCAGTTGGGTGACCGGAGAAGGGGAGGGAAGGGAAGGGGTTTCCTGGAGGAAATGACAAACCGCTGTCATTTCTTGTTTTCGATTCCAGCGGGCAGTGGTTCTGACCACGTATCGCCCCGCGATCGCGCCGAATTCCCACGGGCAGTTTAAGAGCGTGAATGCACATGGTAAATTATTTTATGGGGTAAACAAATATAAACCCTCTCGGGAAAGACATATAACACGGGAGGCATCAACCCTAAACACAATGTGGCAAGGTGTTTAGGGTTGATGCCTCCCTAGTTCGCATGCCTTTCCCTAGAGGGTTTTTTTTTTTGTCGTGGGTGAAACTGTATTGAGAAGAAAACCTGACCGTAGGAATCGGCTACTCTCGCGAGGCAATGCGAGGTCAAAACCACTGCCCATTGGAATCAAAACTAGAAAACACCGCGGTTCGTCATTTCCTCGGTTTCCTGACACAGAGCAGCCGAACGGCCACTTGCGTCGCACGAATGTTAGAGTTCGGTTCGGTTGGGTTGGGTGAAACGGGGCTTTTGAGACTGGTTGGTGGACACACACTGTTGTGCCTCCGCACGCGGCGCCAACGACGAACGACATGGTGTCTGCCAGACTGGCACGTTGACATTGTTGAAGGTCAACGCCTGGGTGGTGGTTTCGCCCAGTTAGAACAAAATGCAAGAGCTACATTTTGATACTATATTAAAATGGTTGTACAGTACACTCCCCAAAGAATCTGTGAGCCCAAAATGGACAGCAGGCCTAAAATCACTCATTTTGTCTATGCGTACTCTTTGCTTTTGAGAAACAGGTCTAAAGAACAGGGATGAGAAACAGGTGGGCTGGGAGGCGGGACGAAATAAACAGGTGGGTGGGTCAGGGTAGCAAGAGAGCGGAACTGGGGCCAGAGATGGAATCCACCAGATTAGAGGAAACAAATCAGGGTATGCTCTGGCTGATGCATCAAGCTGAGCATCAACAAAAGCATGTCTGCTTACAACGCTATTGTAGATGCCAGATTATGGTAAGCATAGTTGCATCCCTACCCACAAAGAGGAGACAGTACAGTCAAACCCTCCATTTAGTGACCGGAAAAGGTCCACTTTCCGCTTGTATCGAGACGCAATCAGCTTGCCGCACGTGTCTCCTCTCCTCACGAGGTAGAAGCGTTTAGTCACGCACTGCATCCCTCCATATCCTGAGAGCTCATCCGCTAGCAAGCACACCTGATGGGAGGAGTGAGAAAGGAGCGCATTACGGCCCAAGTGAATGAACCAGTTTCACCCAAGCCCGCTTATGGTCCAAGCCGTACTCATTCCCTCACATAACATGAAAGCGCCGTGTTGCAATGCAAATGCTTTAAGTAACGCAAGAAACCCTAAAATGCCACTGTACCAACCACACAAGCACAACGAGATCTCTTACCACATTCGGAACTGATCTGGAAGGATAGAATCAGGAAAAAAACTAAACGCAGGCCTAATCTTTGCAAGGGCTGCATCATTTCTTGGGCGAAAAACAAGATGTTCGCTGAAGCAACCTACGTGGTTTAAGCACACACTGAAAGGAGGACGCGACAAGTTCAGGCAGCAGCTGCACTAGGCTGCAGCACCAGGCAGCAGCGGGCACAAGGTAAGGAAGGCTCCAAACAGATGAATAAAAATCGCATGTGCATGTAACAATCAACCACTCACCTTATCAACAACAGAGTCGGTCCACCCAGCAGCAGCGGGCAGCAGGTGGTCGCAGTAGAGAGCGGGGTTGACTCGGAAGAGCTTTGCGATGCTCATGATGTGCCGTCCAGGGCGCAGCGTGGCGAGCTTCTGGCATGTGTGCACGGTGGAGTCGAGAGTCTTGTATAGGTTGCAGGCCGCCACCGGGGAGGAGGGGTACCTTGAGTTGTTCTCCACACACAAGCGCTGCAGGGGGGAGAGGGATGAGGAGGAGAGGGAGGGCAGAGGGCGGTGTTGAGGTACCTTGAGGGTTTGCTGAGCCACACGATACATGGTACATACATGTGATATATTCCAGCTCCCACATGATACATGGTACATACATGTGAAATATTCCAGCTCCCACATGATACATGGTACATACATGTGAGGTATTCCAGCTCCCACATGATACATGGTACATACATGTGAAATATTCCAACTCCCACATGATACATGGTACATACATGTGAAATATTCCAACTCCCACATGATACATGGTACACACATGTGAAATATTCCAACTCCCACATGATACATGGTACATACATGTGATATATTCCAGCTCCCACATGATACATGGTACATACATGTGAAATATTCCAGCTCCCACATGATACATGGTACATACATGTGAAATATTCCAGCTCCCACATGATACATGGTACATACATGTGAAATATTCCAGCTCCCACATGATACATGGTACATACATGTGAAATATTCCAGCTCCCACATGATACATGGTACACACATGTGAAATATTCCAACTCCCACATGATACATGGTACATACATGTGAAATATTCCAACTCCCACATGATACATGGTACACACATGTGAAATATTCCAACTCCCACATGATACATGGTACACACATGTGAAATATTCCAACTCCCACATGATACATGGTACATACATGTGATATATTCCAGCTCCCACATGATACATGGTACATACATGTGAAATATTCCAACTCCCACATGATACATGGTACACACATGTGAAATATTCCAACTCCCACATGATACATGGTACATACATGTGAAATATTCCAGCTCCCACATGATACATGGTACATGTGAAATGGAAAAGGTAGGTCCAAGGTGCTGTTGACACACCCTTGGGATTTGATTTGGAAAATGGCTCTTCAGCACCCTCCAAGCTGCTGTAGAAAATGGCTCTTCAGCACCCTCCAAGGTGCTGTAGAAAATGGCTCTTCAGCACCCTCCAAGGTGCTGTAGAAAATGGCTCTTCAGCAGCCGGCTGAATCATGGCCTGAACACTTGAAGTGAAGTGCTTGAGGTGACAAGCTGTTGCTGTGACTCAAAGAAAGAGTGAAGACTTGGGAAGGGATCGGAATGGGAACTGACCTTTCCAGGTATGATCAGTTGTGAGCAGTTAATGTTACGGTTCAAGTCTGTTACGTTGGTCCCCATGAGTTTGTTGATTGATGCGCACGTGTCATCCTGGGGTAAGTGGGATGGCGTGAGGGTGAGACGCAGAAAGGCATGTTATGCTGATTCTCAATATTGTACGCATGTATTTCTCTGGTCTGGGATGTGTGGGGTCAGGAAGGGGCAGAGGAGCAGGGAAGGAGGTGGGAAGAAACAAATGCAACTTGCAACTTGATGCTACATGCAACAAATCTACCAATCCTAGCCCAATTCTAGGTTGGTATACTACTCCAATCTCTTCTTGCTTAACATCTGTGCTCTGTTGAGCTAAAATCGTTATTTCCCCCT